TCAGCTTGATTATGTATATCACAAGTAATATTTTATTTCCATAATTTACACAATTAACTACAAGGATATCCTTCTAACTTTTTGTATCTATTCATGTCTTCCTTTCTTTTATCACAATAATTACTTTTTAATTTAGTTGACAACAAAAATAATTACTTTCTCTTCAAACTCTACTAGATCATAACCCGCCCGACTGGGTGGGTCTTTATTTTTATGGTATATATAAACATTTCAAAAAGTACAATCTAATGGTTCCAATTTTACTAAGTAATAGTATACTGTTTAAATATTGTATTTCATTATTGTATTGTTTAACAGGGGCGTCGGTATAATATTGTGACCCGTTAATATTTTAGTAATAGTTTATAAGGTTTTTTTTTGCTAAATTTGGTACAAAGTTATATACACGAAACAATTTAGTCAAATTTTTAAGTTAATTTTTCAATGAAGAATTAGAAAGCAAGTATATCACTGTTAAAAACTTATAACAATAGTCAATATAAATTATATAAATAAAATATATATTATTCTTGATTTATTCTAAATAAATTTAAAATACGAGTATATATATGTAAAAATAATTTTCAGAAATAAAGTAATATTAATGATAGAAAACCCAAAATCAATAATAATGATACTTTGGGCCACATTAATCTTTAGTTTAATAAATAAAACCCATTAAGTTTGTAGGCTATCATTGTTTCCAATCACCATAATTTTAAATATTTCCTATTCATGTTTCCAAACACTTAACTTTTTGTACTTCAGCTTTAATAGTATAGATGTTTATATAATTAGTAGTTTTTATTTTTATTAGTGTTTAGTTTATAAATGTAACATTAATTATGTATATAGAAGACTTTTGTATGTTGCATTTTTATATTTTATATCAAACACAAAATCATACTAAAAGTGTTTCCTTTTCTCAAATATTATCTAAAAGTTATTTATTCAAAAAATATTTTTATTAATTATCATTTTTAGTTCGTTTAAGGCATCAAATAATCTTCGCACGGCTCTGGATATATACAATAACTATAAACAATTTCTAAGTTACTCATATCCTTGTTTATCTTAATTTTTTTTTCTTTTTTATATCAAATATATAGAATAATTGATAAATCAAATGTGATTCAGTTCCACATATGATTATATTCTAAAAACTTACAAAACTCTCAGCGTATCAAATTAAACTACTCAAAATACTTTCAGCCTATTAAATTAAGCTACTCAAAAATGGTAATTCGAATTAACATCTCTTGGGTTGTAACAAATTAAATTGATTTTCGTTGATGTTGACGTAAATTGTTGAACTTAACTATATATATATATATATATGTAATAATTTATAATATTTTTATTATCATTTAAAAACTCATGACACTATTTTATGTTTGATATGCTAACATGGGAAGAAAATCCAAGAAAATATTCATTCCTTATGGTTATGTTGTTTATTTTATCGATATGATAATAAATATTTCAAGATAAAAAAAAAAGATTGTGATGGAACCAGGACAACCAATACATATTAAAATGAAATTTAGTAGGTCTACTTTTTTCAATCCATTTATCATAGGGGGTTTGATTCCAAATATATACTATTATTTGCGAAGTGATTTTTCGCAACGCAAGTTTCACGTTAAAAGTTAGAGCGGTTAATATCTATTTTATCCTTAATGAAATTTTATATATAACTAATTTTATAATTAAAAACTTAAAAGTTAGAGCGGTTAATATCTATTCTACCCTTAATGAAATTTTATATATAACTAATTTTATAATTAAAAACGAAATTTAAAAAATATTATTAGATAAGTATGTTATTATCTTAGATAAATAAGAAAAATTAATATAATAAGTTTTTAAAAAATAAAAAATAATAATTCTTATATATGTTATTATTATCTGAATATAATATTGTAACAACATGATAATGCCTATATATCTTAATTTTATATATAATTTATTTTGGCTTTTGAAAATAACATCATTCTATTATAAAATTTAAAATTAAAATAAAAAATTGATTTTAGTTAAATATTAATCAAACAAAAAATGTGTATAAAGATACTTTTAATTATATAATCAAATATTAAAAAAATCTATGCAATATAAAAGATTAATAAATTCGATTATAAATATTAGATTAATTAAATATATTTAGACTTAAATGACACCTTTAAGGAAATTTATATAATTAAATATAAATTAGTTAAAACATATTTTATGTTAGTGAATGAAATTTATATGTTATTATATTAGTTAATTTATTATAAATTAGTAGGATAATTATCTACGGTCATGCATATTTAAAACATAAGATATCTTATAGAATATTATACAGTTACCTGGAAATAATATTTTTATTATAAAAAATAAAAAATATAAGTTATAAAACAATTTAAAAATTAAATATTAAGAAAAAATAAAACTATATTTCAAAAATATTTTATTATGTGGATATTTTTCAATACTATAATTGTATTACTGTTTGATTTAGATTTTTTAAAAATATAAAATATAATTTATAATATTATTTAGAATTAATAAAACAAAAAATAATAAATATTCGTAACAAAATTATGGGCGCATATGCGGGCACAACACCTACTTCTTTTTGTTAGTGAGTAATAATAAAACTATGTTCGTATTGTTTAAATAGTTATAAATATTATTTTTGTTGGTTATCCTACTTTATTTCATGTTAACGGTATGGTTATTAGTTTTGCACCAATTCAATTTAGGGAAAATTTCATAACTACCACTTTCACACTACCACTTTTCATATATACCACAATTTAATTACCCTTTTCAAATATACCATTTTCATTTAATGACAAACTAGAAAACTAACCCTAGCTATTTTCTTTTCTATCGTTGTTCTCGTTTTAGTGTGAAAGAGGAGAGCGGAGGTGGAGGAGGTGCGGCGGAAGTTCGTCGGAGAGTTCGTCGGCGGTGGGGATGAGGGATTAGGGGGAGGAGGAGGGAGCCTGGATTAGGGGGCGGTGGGGATGACTCAGAGTCCTTTGATCCCGTCGAGGTCTCTGGAGAGATCTGTCTCTGGGGGAGGAGGAGGAGAGGCTTCGAATGAGGCTGAGATGGAGATGTTTTGAACTCTTCTTTTGGAGGAGGTAATGAGGCTGAGATGGAGAGTAGCTACACAATCTCATTGGGAACACAATTATTTTCTCCAGTTATTCACTTGTCGTTGCTGATGATGGTGTGGCAGCAGCTGGTATAGAAGCACAAGTGGAGATTTAAAGAGAGAGTGAGGGCACG